TGTAATGTTCTTTGTTGTGCTTGATAATTTAGAGAATTACAAACTGCACTTATGAATAAACAAATTGGAGCATTGCTGCAGGCGTGCAGAGAGCACAATATACGCATGTGATGTTATGTAGTAAATAGTACCATGTTGTCTTCGTGATATTGGGGCCACATGCTTTGCATGGAGGACTTAAACATTTACCAGCAGTAGAATCTATTGGGAAAGGCAACTGTTTCCTCATATTGGCTTTCTCCAAAGCCAGCACATTGAAAAATAGGCTGTTTCCTTCTCCAGACATTCCTTTTGAGATGACAGAACCATCCCCCCATTGCAGCCTTAGCACAGGAACATGTTGACTTAATGCTTTCTTTTCATTAATGATTTTGTATTTTGGAGTTTGTTGATGTACTTCTGCTGCTATCTTAATGTGGATCCCAATTTGATCTTGAATTTAGGGAATGTAAAATCCTGATAAACATCCGGGCTGTCGTGAATGCAAAGGACAAAGCCTTTGTAGTAAAATGTCTCTGACATACGCCCATGAGAAGTGTTTGATGTGTTGGAAAAGGCATCTGTCTAAAAAAAAATGTTTTTCCTCTTTGGCTTTGCTGAGCAGACTGTCGAAGTAAATGACACAAAGTAACCCTTCTTTTCCTCTCCTACTGCCCTCTTTTTTGTTTGATCTTGCAGCATTGTGATAATGGTGAGTCTGTAACTTGAAAGTAATTTCTGTAATGACTTATAGCATGAACAGAGGGGGTTTTATTTTCTGCTGCTAAAGGGAGATCAAAGTATGATCTAGAGATTAGACCTGTTTTGAGAGAGAGAACTGAGCAGCCTATTTCTACCTCTGTCACTGAATTGCTGTGTCAAACTGGGCAAGTCACTTAACTTCTCTGTGCCTTGGGCCTTTGCTGTGTACTGTAGCATTCAGCTCTTGCACTACTAGCAGATGTTTTGCATGGCTTAATCATAAATGACTGCCTGCACGCTAATTAGCCTCAGCCGGTGCAAAGTTCATTATCCTTGTTTTCAACCTTTACACCAATTCAGGGGATGTGATAGCTGGTTTTGATTTAGGTTTGGTCACAGCTTGCAGGAGAGGAAGGAAGAAAGTGCTGAGGTCTGCAGAAGAGATGCAGGCAACGGCATGGACTGTAGGCTGATGGGAATTTCTGGGCTGAGGGCTGTACTGTATGAAGGCATCAGAGAAGCATTATTACAGCGTTTTATCTTGGTGTGGATTAGTTTAAACAACAAGCTGAGCTACTAGCAGCAATATACACAGTGCAGGCCAACCTCCCAAAACCTCCCTGTGTCTCACATTGGCTGCACTTGACTTTTGGTCACCAGGTTTTTACTGTGCTGCTGCTCAAACTAGTTCAAATACTAGCTGAGGTATGCTGGCCGTCTCTCACAGCTGTAGTTCGGAGGTAGTGCATGCTCGTGAGCTCAAACTGGCAAATGAAAAAGTCAGGTCTGTCAGTCTGCCAGCGTGCTGCATCTGCACGAATGCACAATCCGCTGAAAAGCAATCGACTGGCCAAGCCCTCCAAATAAGAGGGCAAAGTTGTGCCAACAGTTGTCTCCCTGACAACCGTGTGAGCACTCTTATACGTGGAAGAAATCGGTCACAATCAGTCTAGAAGGAAAAAACTTGTGGAAATCCCTCTGCTCTAGACAAGGCTGCAGTTTTGCCATCTGTAAAGAGAGAAAGATGGCAGAAATGTCCCATTTTATGGCAATACTGGAAATTTAATCCATAAGTACATGCAAAGGCAACATGATTAAATCAGAAGTACGGGAGCAATACAACGCTGTATGCAAAAGTAGGCTCACTTCAGTTCTGCATTTTGTACACAGGCAGCGTAAGAGAATAGACTCCCTGCTGTAAAATGTCTGCAGTCTGCGTCCCTGGAGAATCAGTAGGAGTTGAAGAAAACTTCCAAATGTTGCACGCATCTGTGAGGGAAACAAGGAATCTGCCTTCTCCCAAGTTATCAACAGGGAAACTCAGGAATAAAGAGATTAACAGGCTCTGTGTGTGGTGCAATGTGTTGTTTTCTCTTTTTAATGCACCTGAGAAAGAAGCAAATCCCCCAGATTTCCCAGTATGACACAGCAAAGCAAACTCCATGAATCCCTCCAGCAGTTTCAACAGTGTCTACTTGCCCTCTGCCCTCTGTCCTTCTAAGAGGAAATGTTGGGTGGCATACAACATTTAAAAAGTTAATGATAGGCTAGCCACTAAAAGCTAACGCTTGCGGCTTTGGGTTCCAGGAGCAGAGGAACAGGAGGGCAGCCTGTTCATACAAATATCTGAGAGTACCTTACTCACGGGAAGCACTGGCAGACTATAAAGTGCTCTGTTAATTATTGTTGACATTGCATAGAGAGCTTCATGCTGTTCTTTCTCTGCCTGCTTCAACTTAATTTGTTTGAGAAAGTACTTTTTCTGTGCTGCAGATTGCGTAAATTCATATACTCTACTGCACTGACAGATGTGTCTTTGTTTTAGAAGAAGCCATTATTTTTTTCAGTGCTGAATGCGAATGGAGCATTTAATTTTGGTGGCTTCCAAAAATATTTATAAAGTGAAGCTGAGCAGCTCAAAATATTTTGCCCTCCTACACTGACATTCACAAGCCTTTATAACAGTGTTATCAAAAGCATTTGCAGTGGAACGTGCATGAGTCGGCCACAAAGACTGTGTTAGTCAACAAATGACTGCCGGCACACGGTTAGTCAGCTACACCATGTGTAGCACAACCCAGTTAACACAACTGTAACTAACGGAGCAATTATTCTACATTGTGGGTCAAAGACGTCTTACAATGATCCTTAGCTCTCATAACACCTGCTTATCTGAGGAAACAGAGGGTGAAGAAGTAGAAAGGGGCTAAAATTCCCCTTTCTCCCTCTTTCTGCTGGAAAGATATGGTTTGACTCTTCACTGACCTCCACAGGCAGTGCTTGCTCTGAGGCATGCCATGACTCTGGTAATCTGGCTATGAGGGGTGACGTTGTTTGCCTTCCACATTTCACTGCTGACGATTACCTAGGTGTCCTTCAGCTCACTTTCCTATTCATTGATTCTTCCTGAACACGCTGCTAAGAAATGAAGCATGCTGCATCCACTTGAGCAGAGAGAAATGCTCACTATGAGCACATAAATGCATCAAACTTACTCTTAAGTTTCATTATAAATTAAATGACCTCTCTGCCAATTGATTGTAATGATTTCCATAATCTTCACCACCATATTGAAACCAGGGCTTCCCACGTATTTCTTCCCACAAGCAGTCATCTGAGCGAACTAAATCTGCAATCAGTGCCCTCCAGCTGCAAGTAGAAGAGCATGGCTGACTGACCTCGTTAGTTATAGTGACAATAATTGACACTCAATGATTTGAATGATAAAACCATATGTATTCCATGTCCATTCTCAGCTTTGTTAATTTCCACCTTTAAAGTCTTAAAATGCTGTATAATGAATAGCAGTGAGTCCAAGGAAAACTACTTATAAACCTGCTAAATAATGTATATCACCATTGGCTTTGGTCAGCCCATCCCTGCCCCAAGGAATGAGGGACAGTGAGGCTAAGTACCACACTGAAACACTCTGATTCTCCTCAACAGGCAAATGGTTAGAAAAGACATTTTAAACAGTGGGAAGTCTCCCTTGCTGAATAGTATAGCAAGGAGCTCAACAGCAGGAAGAGGCATGGACTGTCCTTCTACACTATCCTGCATTGCTAAATATGAATTTGTGGTGATGGAGAAAAGGTGGGCAGCTTTACTCAACAATAAACAGGAACTCTACCTAACGCCCCTCCTTCATTATTTAGGAGGTAAAATGTCACTCTAATATACCCAATGACTGCACCCTGGGTAGGATGCCATTTCCCTTTAATAAGTGCAGAAGTTTCTTTCCTCATAATCCTTGCATTGTTTGGACACAATCCTTTTCCATACACTAGCATTTTTCCATTGCTAGATGATTTTTTCTTTTTAATTGCTGGTGGGTGTGCGACCCTTTTGTCATCTGTATGCAGTGTTGATTCTGTGGTATTTAAGCATGTCAAAATGAAAAGTGCCTCAGCTGAAGATCATTTTCAGTGGAGATCAGTGATTGATTTCCTTTTTTTTTTTGGTAAAAAGCCACTTATTTTGTTTTTGTGCATTTTGGAGTCTTGTGGATTGAAGTTACTTCTAAAACTTTGAAACAAGAAAGAATAGCACCCTTTCAAGCATGTGTTGCAATCTATTTGCTACCCTCTTGCTTATAGCTTGCAGCAGGTGAAAAAGCAGTAATGGGTGACCCAGAATGCAATTAAAGAAAGAAATGTGGAGAAAAGTAACAGCAGACACATGTGGTCTTTTGTACCCTATAAAGTGTTAATTCCGTTTAATGAATTTGTAACCTAATTAAACCCAAACAAACTCAGTTTTCCCATTTGGTCAGCGCAAAGTAAGAGAATACTAATTATTTTGATTAAAATATTCTTGAAGAAGCTACTCCTCTAGTATTTTGTGGACTGGGCTTGAACAGAAATGAGATATGGAGTTTGCCTCTAATGTAACCGTGCCAAGGGAAACAGGAATTGATATGACAGATCATCTCAGACTATCTGAAGAATTGGGTTAAAGGATGAGGGTTGACAGGGATGTTCTTCTGGCACGAGGCAGCCTTCCAGATGAAGGATGACGTGTATCTATGCAGAAGGCATTTGTTTTTGATGGCCAAGCCATGACTGTGAAGTAGGCTTCCTTTCCTCTGGGAGCTTATCTCAGATTTCACCAGCTCCTACTGCAAGTGAAGAGCACCTTTCTTTGACCTTGACATTTCTGGCATAAATGTTTAGGGAAGTGTAAAATCACAAAACAAACGCTCCTCTCCTTGGGGAAAGGATAAGTGAACAAACACGTGATAGATGATAGTGACGTTACTTAATGCATGACCGATTTGCACATTTATTCTGCTCTCACTGAAGTTGTAAGTGGCCACAGAAGAAAAACAGGGCATGTTATGACACCAGGATGCCTGGTGCATAAGTGAGCAGGTACGTAGGCATATGCCTGGATGTAGGCACAATGTTTGAAGATGCTTGATTTCCCAAGGAAGCCTTGAACTTACCTGTAGAAGTCCTGCTAGAGCTTTTGAACTTTGTAAAAATGCAGTTCAAAATTCACCTCCTGCTCCAGAAGTACAAATAAGGTTTTGCAACCAGCTCATGAGATGCTCATCTTCCCATTGCAACATGGTGTCTCTGTCTTAAGAAAGAGTTTTTTGGAAAACATCTGTGAGTTACCTGGGCTTGCATGCTTATGCTTGGTAGGTGTACAGTGCAGTACCCCTTAGGTGAACCACCTTCTATTGAGAACAGCATTGCCACTGTCCCTCACCAGGTGGGGACAACAGACACTGAGCAACAGCCACAGGTGGGTAATGCACGCTGAGATGTCCAACTGCATGGAGAGATAGGAGAAACAGGAACTGGCCAAACTGGTTATAGAGGCCCAATTAGGGGCTTCCTGATGCTGGGTCTTGTTCAGGCAGGCTATGAAACCTGCTGCGGCAGGGTGGCTTCACTTGGAACGAGCCTGGCACTCCCGTTTTTTTCATCCTCTCCCACTCCCGTTTTTGTCCTAATTTCTTCTCCCCTTTTTATAGCGTTTTGATTGAAAGAATACACTGGCAACGCTGAGTGCTGCATTGGAGGGAGGCCCCAGTTAAACTGATTCCAGATGTGCTCGAACTGGTCTGGCCGTGTGCACTGAGGAGGAAAGCGTGCCTCTCCAGTTAGGAGAAGGCACCCATGTGCCAGGCGATGCACGTGGCTGACTGCCACAGTTACTAACCTAGTATTAACTGCATTAATTGTGGACATAAACAGTGTTTAGTGCCAAGCATGTCACAAGCTGATTACAAAAGCTGCGGTGTAGGTAGAGTTTCAAATTATGCTTCACTTTTAATTTTAAGCGCCTTTCCCTCCCCCATCCCCCTCCGAAATTCCTTGAATGTGTCTGTGTATTTACGAAAACACAAACGTGTATCGAGCGGGAGAGCTATCAGGTTGAAAATACTATGAGAGTACCTGCTAATGGCTGGGAGCAAATTGTCAGCAGACGCCTGGAGT